ATAAATGTTGTTACAGTATTTATCATTTTTTAAAATCAGGAACTTTTAAAACGGGAATTACTGAATAACAAACTAAACTCAAAGCAACACAAACTAAGCAAGCCTTGTTTTTAATTTTATTACATTTTGTAGGTAACATTAAAACTCAAGAAAAGCTGTAGGAAGATATAATAAACTGTATCTGAGCAAGTATATTAACCCCAGGTGGTGTCACCAGGACTCAAAGCCTGATCTTTATGAATGGATTAAGCATCATTCTTCCAGAAAAGGTGAATTTTGAGAACAGCTTAAAGGAGGCAGATGGACTGCAGGATGGTTAAACTGAGAAAAAAATGATGGAGGGAAAAACAAGAATGCTTTCTTTTTTAAAACAAAAATAAGAAACAGCATTGGTGAGATGAAACTGAGGAAAGTCTTCAAGGGCCAGCAGATAAATTGAGAATAAATTTGGTAAGCACCAGGGAACTCTACATATTCTTAAATGGAAGGTGACTTGCTGAAATATGATATTTTAAAAATTCAAACTTTGTTCCAACATATAGTACTGCCTTGGATTACCCAATCTTTTCAAAAACTCTGTGTGTGTGTGTAATCCATTATTCTTTATGTGTGATTTATACATATTCTCAAAAAGAAAATGACTGAATAAAAATCCTTATATGAAGAATGGGCACACTGCAGAGGGGAGACTTTCACATATGTTTGTATTAAGAGCCAGTGAACATTTAATAAAAATTACAAGAAGAGATCTTAGAAATAATCTTTTAATGGCAACCCCACTGTTTACACAATAGGTTAAATGGAGACTCTAAAACAAAATAACATGCCTAACGCCATACACAAACTTGTAGAAGATTACATACTAGAACTCAGATTTCATAGGATGCAAGATATAAGGCTGTGTTGTCCAACACTATCACATTCACGACCAGATATGGCTAGCATCTGTGAACCACATTTTAAAGTGATTAAAACTAAATACAATTTTAAATTCAGTTTCTCACACATAACTAGTCACATGTCAAGTGCTCCACAGCCACACATGGTTAATGGCTACCATATCTAACAGTGCAGAAAAAGAACATTTCTATCATATTTGTCAATTATACCTCATTAAAGTGTGGACATGAGGGAAGAATATTTCCACAATGCAGAAAACTTAACTGGACAGCCCTGATCTAAAGAATAAGCTTTACAGTAAGACAAATGTGGTCTGAATTCCACTTACTAGGAGTATGACTCTGGACAAGTTATTTAATTTCTTTTTACTTCTATTTCAGGGGTAGGACAGGGGATTAATAATACTTACCTCACAAATTATACTTGATGATGAACTGGAATAACATGAAATACCCCTTGTACACTGTCTGACACTTAACAAAATAATAAATACTATTACTCTTCCCTTCTGGAGTCTTTTTTTTTTCCCCTAGTACTCTAGATAATCTCCTTGTTAAAAAATATAAACACAATAACCCACCCAAGTTAATATTTTCCCCTCAAAATAGTCCATAGTATGAAAACCTGAGCTTTTCTTCCAGTATTTCTACTTCGGAATAATGAAATAAAGAATTAATGTGAGGGAAAATACCTCTAATACAGAGAGTGTGACAAATTTTCCCTTCTCTTTTCCCCCATTCCATTTTATATTTGATTATACTGACTTCTCATGCAAAGGATATACAATAAATTAGGCTGTTCTTAAACAACTGACTTCCACACCAATAAATACCCTAAAGTGCTTCTACATCATATTCCTTCTCACCATCGGTACTAATTGAATATTAAATGAAGAAATAACAATACCTTCCTCCTACAGTACTTTCCTGGCAAACAATACAAGGATTTCCAGAATGCTAAGCCAATCTTCAAGGTTTCACAGCTTCTAGTGAGCCAGTAAATTTAATCTACCTCGACTATAGCATATAAAAAACTTCATAACATGCAATAACCCAGAAAAACAACAATTCAATTCAGTTTGTAACCAGTGCTTTTCTACCAATAAACAAATTTTATTTATGAGCAATAATTCATATTTAGCACCATTAAATCATACAGACTTTCATTGCTAGTGAGGTCAGAGATTTTTGCATACCTAATAAGTAACAAAAAATTCAAGAACTTTTAACCATTTCCCTTTAAACAGCCACTAAACAAGATCCTTAAATATTTTTTAAAGGCATTCCTGCTGTTTAAAAGTGACCAAATTAACTCTCTGAAGGACGAAACAAAGTATTCTCAATATCAGTGCCTCTGTGAAATTATCTGGTAGTCTCTTTGTTCCTTAAGGATAATTCACTTAAATAAAAACATGGTCAACATTCCCCTTATTGAGTGTAAACAAAATCATAAATAAATACTAGACCAATAACAACAATATTTCCACATACATACTGTCACTATACAACTCAATTATATTTAATAGATGAAACTAAAATATATCAAGTATATAAACCACAGAGTTTAACAACAGTCTACAGGGATCATATAAGTTTAAAAAAATTGAAAAAACTTTTTAAAATTATTATCCCACATAAACTTATTACTATTTTACTTTACACATTAAAATAAAAGTTAGGCACCTTTGTCTGAACTGATGAAATTTAGTTTGTGATATTCTGTACTTTTTTAACACCCTTCAATAATAATGAAGTGTACACTGGTCACAGACTAGTTTAAACGAATTTTCCTGAGGCTGCATTCTAAGTACATCTGACCCAGAAAGTATTTTTAGCAAGTGCATTCAATCAATGCTGGTTTAATGCCTAGCCTAAATTAGAAATTAGGTGTCATAAATTTAAAGTAACATGTTACTAGAGGTATTTTAAAGATATTCAATTACGACATAAGAAAAAAAAACACAAATTTGACACAATCCATCCACAGCTAACATTTTAGAAAACAGGCAATAAGAAAGTCACATCTTCATCTATTACTGCTTTTTGAAGAATCCCTGGTTTTCTAAATTAATAACTAGCCTACTCAATATCTTAAAAAAACTATAAAATAGTGATGTCTCCTTGTGTTCAAAATGTCTTGCCAAATGTCTAAAACATACTAGCTAAATCACAATTACTATATGCAAAAAAGACCATGTTGCTCTTACAAATCACTTAAGATCATATTATAAAACCATGCACATGTGTAAATGCAAAATGAAATAGATATGTAAGCCATAAAAATGTTAAGAGATGCAAAAATAGCTATTATGGTAAGTGGAGCAGAAATTTATTCTGACAAAAAAATGGTGGTATCCACAAACTAACTTAACTCTTATGAGTCTGTAAAGTAGTTCTGTACCATACACAACTTTTGCTTTCAAAAGTTTTCTTTTCCTTTAAAACAATGTTCAATTTAAACTTATCAAATTCAAGATTTAACTGATATATCTAGCTCTATTCCATTGAGGACATTTGGGGCTCTGAATAATCATTTATTTTAAGGTCATCCCCTCCCCCTCTTAAAAAATGAGAAATAATTTCCTCCCTCTGGCACACTAAGCTTCAGGAAGCCAGGATTTTAAAATGCCCTGGCTTTTACTGTACCAGTCTTCTTTCTACTCAAATCTTCTATTGCAAGACGGATACACTGACTTTTTTTTCCTCCATAGATATGTTTTAAATGTTTTATTGTGCTGTGCTGTTTCAAGTGGACTCAAGATTTCGTCACAAAAACTTAATATTAAATTTCATATTCGAAAAGCAGCTGGTTTGTTGCAGATATGTCAGGTCCTCCTAGAACAAGGCTTTGAAAAATCCTGCAAATCGTCCTTGTGCATACTGATGTCACTCTATGATGCAAGCCCAGACACAGTCTCCCATTCTAAGTTTCACAGAAATATCCATACGTACATCAGTGCAACTGTAAACTGTTCCATTTTAAGGAAACCCTGGGAAATGCATCGGCTCATCTACTTAGCTGTATCTCAACTTTTTTGGCCCAACTACAGATTTCTAAATACTAGCGTATACTGGTAGAAGCATTAGAAGGTTAGAATTTGAATAGTAGAGATAGTGTGCTCCTGCAGCAAGCAAGAAGCGCTCCTGAGCCAATTTTAAAAAATCTACCAAGAATTCTACCAGCAATGGAAAAGTCCATAAAGAGTCTAAAGCCTTACATAGAGTTCAGGCACCGCGAAACGTTCCATCTTCGTACGTATTCCATCCCTTGTTCCTTCATTCACCCATAACAGATTTCAACTACAACGTTGGGAACTCCAAGAGCAAAGGTCCCAGGAAAAAGGAAAAAAAGAAGCGTCCTTATTTCCTTCCTTTTAAATCAACCCTGTACCTCCGGTTTGCCCTATTTGGCACCTCCAAGAGCCTCACACGCCCCAGGTAACAACCTTGCATACAACGTGCAGGGCCGAAAGGCCGGCGGGCACCCGAGAGCCTCTTACCTTCGTATCACACCGCGTCCTCTCGGCTTTAGAAAAAAAAAACCTCGAGGCCCGGACGCACCCGGGAGAAGCGCGTCTGCCGCGCCGCGCCGCTCCGGGGGCTCCCTCAGCGCTCCCCTAGCAGCAGCCGCCGCAGCGGCCGTGCCACGGCCGGGAGCCGCCAGCACCACCTCATGCTGCGGGGCTGCCGCGGGCCAGCGCAGCCCGGGAAGTGGCAGGGAGGCGGGCAGCCGGCGCCCTCTCCCACCTCCCTGCGGGGATGAGATAATCCACACCCCCCAAAAAGCGACGTGGGGGAGGGGATCTGGGGCGGGGGGCCTGGCCCCAGATCTCTGACCCTCCGGCCAAAGCCAAATCTCTTCCCGCCCCAGCTCAGGCCCAGTTTCAGCCCCTGGGGACCCAGGAGTCCTGAGAGAACAATGTGGGGGGGTGGGGGGGATGAGGAGCGGAAAAGCACGCAGCACGCCTGGAGCGGGCGGGCAATCCTGGGCAGGGTTTGTGTGTGAGAGTGCAAGAGGCGCTCAGTCACCCCCCTCCTTCTCCGCCTCCTCTTCTTCCTCCTCCTCCTCCTCCGTCTCCGTCTCCTCCTCCTCCCTCAAGCACAACCGGTCTCCTAGGCCGCAGCATAGCAACCGAACATGGCGGCTGCGCAAGCGCGACCAGTCAGCTGCCAGGAGCAGCGGCAAAGGCAACAGGAGGCGGTCTCGCGAGAGGTGAGGCCACGCCCCTTCCCTGCTAGCGCAGGGAATAGAGATTACACCAGCCCCAGAGTAGAGGGACACGCAGGTGTGAGAGGGGCGGGTCTTGGGAAGGTGGAGTGGGCGGTCTAGGAGGAGAGGCGGGACGCCGTGGCCCCACCCCTTCTCTGCGCTGTGATTGGCTGCTCGAACTGCAATACCCGCCCCCACCCCGCCGCCGCTGTACCTAAGGATCCTAGGGACCTATGGGAGGGGCCAGAGACTAAAGTGTTAAAGGGGAGAAGGAGATGTTTTGGTACCAGGGCATCCCAATATCAATACTAATAGTAGGTCGAGGATTTGTGGTGCAGTTTTGAATACTCTCCTAAATATAGGCTCCAAAACAAAGCCCAAACAAACAAGGTTAATTTATAAAACGTTAGGTGCCTTCTATGTACCAGGTACACCGTGTTTTTAAAAATCGAATTAATTCACTCTAATAAATGCGCATTTAATATTATCATGTCAGGAATTTTCATATTTTATTGGGATATAAACCTATTAGTGATAGGACAGATGCCTTATGAGCTGGATGATCTTAGTTTAAATGAAAGATACAGGGACCTGACCGTCACACTTCCCTTTTGCCTCATATTTGCCGGTACCCTCTCCAGTTGCCAGGCATCTTCTTCCTTCTTGCTCATAGCTTCCACCCTACTAGAGCCGGCCTTTATAAAAATCTTCCTTCAAAAATTACTTTCCTTTCAAGTCAACACAATGGCTATTTACCAGTCAGGGAAATGTGTACCAATCTGTGAAAGACTGCAATTTCTACTCTCTTCCTCTCACCCCGCCCCTAGTTTTGCCATTTGAAAAAGAAAACGCGTCAGTTCGTATTTTTTTCGGCTTTACCTCCGTCTACTTAGTTTTCTTTCCAGATTTCTTGTCTAGCCAGTGCTCATTCATCCTTCCCTAAATATGCATTCTTGCCTCTAAATCTCCAGTTTCGATGCCTTTGTTCATGCTGTTGACTCTATAAAATGCTCTCCATCCCAAATCCACTTATCAATATCCATTTATCCTCCAACAAAAGATCAGAAAGGAATAACACCAATAGTAAAAAGTAATTTCTTCCTCCTTTGACACAGAGAGCTCTAAGTTTATATCTTCCTTTGATTCTTATCATCATATACATTTTATTGTACAGTACTTAGCTCTGTGCAGGTCATACCACGACTCAGTGGTGTGATCACTACTTCCACTGAAGGGGAAGGACCTCTCAGTCATCTTTATATCCTTTATAATGTTTGATTACACTGCCTGGTTTTAAAAAAAAATAAAGTGTTGTTGATAGAATGAAATGTTTGAATCTCTCACAGTAGGATTTCAGGAAGATGTTTAAAATGGAGCACACTCTTCCTTGCCTTCTAAATCTGGTAGTTTGGATATTATCAGTGATATTAATCAGGTCTAAATTGCCCTTATTGATGCCCTATAGAGCTTTGCAACTAGTCCCAACTAACCTTTCCATCTTCAGACCCTCCCCCTGCAGCTCATTCCTTCTACCCTCATCTGTAAACCACAGTGTCTATATTTACATAAAACATAAATCTGACATGTACCATAAATATATCTGGAGTCTCAGCATTGATGAGGGCTTGGAGAAAGACATCCTTTGTTTTGGGAAACTCCTCAGGATGAGCCTTTTAGATAAACAAACATAAGCCTCATATTCATCTATTGTTCTTTAAGAAAAGTATGAAGCCACTTTCTTAAAAACTGACATATAATTCACATACTATAAAATTTACCCTTTAAAGGGTGCAATTCAATGCTTTTTAGAACCTTCACAAAATTGTGCAACGGTCACCACTAATTCCACCTAAAATAAACTATCAAAAACTATCACTACTAATTATCACTACTAATTCTACCCCCCAAAAGAAATCTTATATCTGTTAGCAATCACTCTCCATTTCCTCCTCTTCCAAGTCCCTAACAACCACTAAGCTATATTCTGTCTCTAGGATTTGCTTACTCTGGATAATTCATATAAATTAAATAAGTTCCTAAATGGAACATCCTTAGTGAAAGTCACCAGGATGGGCCACTGGAGTAACTAATACTTACTGTTATTCTTAGAAAATTCTAAGTTCACTTAAATCTACCTCAGCACCACATGAAAACAAACAAATAAAATAAAGGTATTGTTTCCAACTACAACAAAAAGAGAGAGAGAGAGAGAAATAGAGAGAGCTTTAGAATATATCCATCTCCATACTGGCTTATTGTAGACTGAACTGGGAAATAATAAGTTAGACTTCAATGTGCATATTCATAACCTGAGTATCGCATTAAAATGCAGGTCTAATCCACTAGGTCTAAGGTAGGGCCTGATACTCTGCATTTCTAAGAAGCTCATTGGTCTTTGGACCACCTTAGAGTAGCAAAAGCGTAGACCACTGTTCATTAAACAGAAGTCAAAGAAAATCAATTTGCAAATCTCTATAAATGTAAAGTTTTGCTCTTATTTAAATTGTTCTTTTTAAAATTATTATATTTTAATGCCTGTTCTGAATCATTTGAATCATTTTGTATGTGGTAACAACTATAACCATAGCAGTGAGTTCAATATTCTCAGCCCAAGAGAATTAAATTTCAATAAAACAGCATCATCTATCATACTTCTTTAGCTTTATAGATGTAGAAAGATATGACAATAAGGAATTTATACCTGATCTACACCTAAGAAACATAGTTAAGATAATTTAATAGTTGGGAGTTAGCTTATTTTTTTTAAGTGGCCTCAAACATTACTGGATATTAGCAGACACAGCTATTGACTGATCTTTTTTTTTTTTTTTCTGTGTCTTCAACATGCCCTTGGCTGTGCTTTGGAGTGTGAGTGCAAAGGCTGTGTCCATAGTTGGAGGCTGTTGACAGGCAAGGACCAGCCTTCTCTCCTAACCCTGGATAGCCAGGGCCAGGAGGGAATTGGCATTTATTCTGGCCTGTGTAGCCTAACCCAGCCGCCTGCGCCTTGGCAATGACCCTGGGCAGCCTTACTGGAAGATAAGCTTTGCCTGGGCACTGTGGCTGACTCACAGGCAACCCTACCATCAGTAGCTTGACAGGATCCCTTTGTAAGAAATTTGAGTAACTTTGGAATCACTGAATATATATAGGGGAAGAGAACCCCAAAGGAAAGTTGGACTCCACGTGCGAGACAGAGCCTGGAGTGATATGAATTTTAACTTTAAAAAAGCATATGACTTAAAATGACTTGATTTTGTTACCTAAGCTGGTGAGGCGGAACTTTCAAAGTACAAGGGCTTTCAGACAAGTTTGAGTCCTAAGCTTGTCTCTGACATGACACCCCAGTTAGATATCTGTCTGCCTTGGCTAGACAATTAGGGGGCAATTTCATCTTTTTATCTGTAATCTTCATGCCTCTGTTAAAGCAAAGAAAAACAAAACAAGTAAATTTAAAGAATTTAAATCTTTAAAGAAATGTAATACATTTTTCCAATAAGTTTAGAATTCTGTGGCTTAGACTTCCTTTAAGCACAAAACAACTTTAAATATACTTTTAAAAAAACCCCTATTTTAAAAAATCAAATAGATATACCTCTGAGGCAGTGGCCCAGTGTGTCACTCTGTCTGCAGGCTTTCTCCCTCTTCACTTGCTAGAAATTCTTTCTTTTTCTTGTTGGCTGAAGAGCACAGCAGATGACCCAACTTAGCAATCCTGAGATAGAAAACTATACACAAAATGTAAAAGTTTTAAAACCAGAGATTTCCTTCTACTTCCAATCCAATCCCCAAAGGTAAGTACTAGCAATCATCCAGGGGACACTTCCAGAATTTCCTCTGCATGTATAAGCTAAAATAGTATATCTCTTCAATTTATCTGGGGATCATTCCTCAACAGAACATACAGATACTTGTCTCTTTCTAAGGGATCTCCCATGATGTAATCAGCCTTCTCTAACTAATGGGCATTTGGGTCATTTCTAGTTCTGTGCTACTACAAATAATGCTTTAAAGAATGTTTGGGTTTTTTGTTTTGTTACAAAACTTTATACCTATATTGAAGTATTTTCTTTAAGGTCAATTTCTGGGAATGAATTTGTGGGGCCAAAACGTTTGTGCATTCTTACTTTAAATAAATGTTGCCAATTTAACTAAGTGTGAGAGTTACCATTACTCACATCTTCTCTGCCATTTCTTGATTTTGCATTTTTCTCAATTAAAGTCATTCATATTTCCTGAAATTTATCCATCTGGAAATAATTCCTGTATACCAGGACAGAGATGGACCTTCATGTTTTTTTTAAAAAAACGGGTTTAGGCAGTTGTCCTAATATCACCTTTTTGAATTATTCATTACATACATACACACAACTATTTGCTAAATTGCTTTTATCAGATGCAAAATTCTCAATACATTGCCAGGCAATATCAGGAGAGGGGTAGATTGGAAATTGAACCCAGGGCCTCATATATGGCTGAGTATGCACTCTATCACTGAGTTACTCTGAAGATTTTTTGACCAGTGATTGAACTCGGGGGCACTGAGCCACATCCCAATACATTTGTATTTTATTTAGAGACATTAAATAAATAAAATATACTTGTATTTATTTAGAGTCAGGATCTCACTGAGTTGCTTAGTGCCTCACTTTTGCTGAGGCTGACTTTGAACTCAGAATACTCCTGCCTCAGCCTCCAGAGTGGCTGGGATTACAGGTGTGAGCCACCGCGCCCAACTTCTGAGTATTTTTAATTTGAGAATGTTTTACTTTATTCCAATAAGTTATCTTCTCCATCTCTGTATTACTTTCCCATTACTGCTATAACAAATTACCCCAACTCCAGTAGCTTAACAATACAAATTTATTATCTTACAGTCTGGACATCAGAAAAACAAAAATGAGTCAATAGGTTGTATTCCTTGGAAGCTTTTAGAGGAGAATCTCCCCTTGACTTTTTTTTTTATATACCTTTATTTTTGCTTAATTTAGTTGTATATGGTCTTAATGCCTTTATTTTTTTTTTAATGTGGTGCTAGAATCTAACCCAGTACCTCACACTTGCAAGGCAAGTGCTCTCCCCCTGAGCTTCAACTCCAGCCCCTATATACCTTTATTTTATTTATTTATCTTATGTGGTGCTAAGGAATGAACTCAGTTCCTCACATGTTCTACCACTGAGCTACAACACCAGACCTTCCCTTGACTTTTTATTTTCCTTTCTGGGGTACTGGGGACTGAATTCAGGGGCACTCTAACACTGAGCCACATCCCCTTTGATTTTGAGACAGAGTCTCACTGAGTTGATGAGTGCTGGCCTTGATCTTGAATCCTCCTGCCTCTGCCTCCCAAGTTGCTGGGATTACAGGCTGTACCACTGCATCCAACTTTCGTCTTCTGGCTTTTGTAGAGCTTCTAAAGGCCTCCTACATCCCTTGGCTCATGCTCCTTCTCCCACCTTCAAACCCTGCAGGATAGCATCTCCATGTTTCTATCTCACCTACTCTGACCTCTTGCCTCCATTTTGTAAGGATCCTTGTGATTGCATTGGGTCCACCCAAGTAGCCCAGGATAATATCCTCATCTCAAAACCTCTAACTTAACCATATCTGCAAAGATTTTGCCATGTAAGGACACATATTTACAGGTTCTGAGGATTAAGGCATTTTGGGAGGCTATTTTTCTTTGTGCCATAATCTCTAATACCAACTATTTTTAGCTATTAGAGTTTATAAGTTTAAATATCTGAAAGAGTTAATGAATTCTTTTCCCAAAATGAACATATTTTTAATTATATGAATTTAAAAATGGGAACCTCAGATTGTGGGTGAAATATTGGCATAATGGCTATATAATATCTGCAAAAAACCAAAAGGATATATGTGAAAATAATGTGTGTGTATAAGCTTATTCTTAGGACATTAACATGCATAATATAAGCCATTTAACCTATATCTAAGTTTTTAAATTTAAATATTAATGCAAATCAGTCCTCATAATTTTTATTCATTAAAAAATATATGTATTGCTCACTTGCTATCTGCTAAGCAATGGGAATATAGGAAGAGGTAGCCCTTGCCCTTAAGGTAAGTATTTTTCATTCTTGAAATTATGATTTATTAAAGGTTTGTGAGATCAATTTGATGAATCATGACTAGCATTTTGAAAACAGAGGAATAACTAGAATCGCAAATCTTAGAGTGTGTCATACAACAGGAATATAAACATAAATGTGGTCATGTGTTTTTGTGGGGAGGGGGGTTGAGATATAAGATGTCTTTCTTTCTTTGGGTGTGGTGGCCAAAAAAGTTTGAGAGCTTCTAGTCTGAAGGGAGCAATAGTAAATAAACAAACAATTCAAATTGGAGAAGTGCTTTCATAGATAAAACTATAAACTTTATGAGGACAGAATCATGGACAGAATCACTAGCCATTATCTTGCCACCACTTAATTGAATATCTGAGATAAGATCAGCCCTCAGTTATTATTCCCAAATAAATGAATGAATGGAAAAGCTGTACAAGGAGATCAAATGACCAACAAACAAGTTCTATACATTTTTGTTGTTATTGTCCCGCAAACCCCTCCTCTTTTGGCAATGCTTGGAGATGGAGCCCAGGGCTTTGCACAAGCTAGGCAAGTGCTCTGCCACTAACTCATATCCTAACACAGTGTACCTTTGTTTTGAAGAGTTTCCATTGGGAGTGGGACAGTTTGGAAAGGTAGATGGTGTATAGAATTGAAGGCTGGGCAGACCCTGAAAGAGGGAACCCTGAGGGATCTTGAGTGACATCTAGTGGATTCTTTAACCAACTTGGGGACACAGACCTGAGAAATCTTCCTATTAGGTGCAATCTTGATTGCTTTAAAAAAGAGAGGGAGAGCTGGGCATGGTGATGCACACTTGGACTTGGAAGGCCGAGACAGGAGAACCACAAGTTCAAAGCCAGCCTCAGTAATTTGGCAAGACTCTCAGCAACTCACTAAGAACCTTGTCTCAAAATAAAAAATAAAGCGCCAGGACTGCGGTTGTGGCTTAGCAGTAGAGCACTTGCCTAGCATGTGTGAGGCACTGGGTTGGATTCTCAGCACCACATAAAAATAACTAAATAAAGGCGTTCTCCATCTACAACGAAATATGTATGTGTGTATGTGTGTGTGTGTTATAATCACCCCTCCCCCCACAAAAAAAAGGAGAGAGAGAGTGAGAGAGAACATCCCTGTATAGCATATAAATGTTACTTTATTTGTAGGTGAAAACTGTGGGTTTGTTGGTTTGTGTTCTTTATATGTTGGCTTTGTTCACAGAAGCATTATCATCAGATTGGAAAATCTTGATTAATCTCCACGGCTTTGTACCATGTTACGTAGAACCTGATACAGCATTATCAGCTGTGTAAGTACCAGCTGTTGGCTGACTGACTTGTTATAATCATTATAATCATCCATTCAACCTGTGGTCATTGATTGTGTACTGTCCACATTAAAGATCTTCATTCCTTAAAAAAAAAAAAAAAGGATTCCCATCCCTGACTGTCAGTTAGAAATACTAAGTAGATATTTTGTAAATACAGATGTAGCCGGGCACAGAAGCACACACCTATAATCTCAAGGACTTCAGAGGCTGAGGCAGGAGGATCACAAGTTTGAGTCAGTCTCAGCAATTTAGTGAGATCCTAAGGAACTTAGCGAAACCCTGCCTCAAAATTAAAAAATTAAAGGGCTGGGAATGTAGCTCAGTACTAAAACATTCCTGGGTTCAATCCCCAGTACCTAAATAAATAAATAAATATAGATGCTTTAACCCCACCATGCTCACACCCACATTTTCATTTAATTGATCAGGGTGGAACTGAAGCGTCTCTCTAGATAAGAATATAGATTTTTTTTTTTTTTATCATATCCCAAGGGGATTCTACTGTGCAGCAGGTTGAGGGACATAGTTCCCATTTGGACAGGCACTGAACATCACAGAGCCTCAGTGTGACCCAGGGATCCCTGCCCTTTCCTCAGTTCTTGTCAGATTATCTGGGGTGAATGATCAATCTAGAATGTCCCAACATCTTTATAAAATATAAATAAAAATAAATTACTATGAAATGAAATAGAATGAAAAAGGCATATAATAAAAGACATAATAAAATACAAGTCCCAACCTTATTGTTAGATTTGATGGAAATTAATTACCCTGACAAATTCTCACTGCTTACTCTCAATTTTTGTATTTATCTCATTGTGGATTGGAGACAAACGATTTACAGTGAAGTATTTGTAGTCACATGGCTTCAGGTTATATTCTAGATGGTCAAGGAGAAGACAGAGGAGATGCAAAACACAAATGATAATACTAGCAGGACCCACATTTAAGGAGCAGGCTTGCTGCCCTCTCAGTGACTGCCTGCCAGATAACAGAGTCCTGTGGAGCTACCAGAGGTTGGTCAGTCTTTGAACTCATCAAACGCACACATTGATCAGGCTCTTGGGATGCTCATATGCTAAAATTTAAAAGAAACTGGTTATAAAGCAAATTCATTATTTTTAAAAGGAAATATGCCTTTCCAGGGACCAGACACTGTCTTTGCTATAACAATAGCCTTTTTCTAGTACCAAAGTCTCAGGCATAAGAAAGTCATTTAGGGAACCCAGAATGGAAATCTTCCCTGCCCCACATGGAGCAGTTCTTTTCAGTGATGACAATCCTCATGAGTACCCAATGCACGTGGCTCTCCTCTGGACAGGGCTTAAAAGCACAGACAAATTTTGACAACCTGTCACACTTCTAGGACTTTTCCTCTGTCCATCACTACCTCAAGCAGGCAGGTTCAATGTACCGGTTTGAGTTGCAACTTTCTCTGGTTTTAAACCACTTCTGAGGCTATCCCAAGTCACCTTGATTACAGTTGAGTGACCCCTAGGTTTTATTGGCAAGGTATTGTCAACTAGACACAGCGCAGGTTCTGTTCACAGATGAGTCATAAGGTGATCCGTTCTTACCTTTTTATATGCAGCCTTGTCCTTCTGTCTTTGCAGTCTTGCTCTTCTTGCCCTGCCTCCCATTCTCTGCCAAGATTTCAGCTCTGACAGTGGTTCTTCCCGGAAGCCTGAAGAATCTCCCATTCCCCAGGGAATCAGTTCTCCCTAGCAAAGTGCATAGCCCTTTTTAGAACAGTGATCCTTCCTTTTGTTTGCTCTTGGGTCCCCAGAAGCTTTACACAGTAGAGATTCCCCAAAAATGTTTGGTGAAATAAACTCTGATTTTCTAGTTCTATTCTTTTTTTTTTTTAAATTGCCGATGACCTTTATTTTATTTATTTACATGCAGTGCTGGGGATCCAACCCAGTGCCTCCCACATGCTAGGGAAACACTCTACCACCAAGCCACTACCCTAGCTCCTAGTTCCATTCTTCTTCTTATTTTTTAGTTGTAGATGGACACAATATATTTATTTTATCTATTTTTTTTTTTAATTTGGTGCTGAGGATTGAACCCAGTGCCTCAGGCATGCAGGCAAGAGCCCTACAACTGAGACACAACCCCAGCCCCCTAGTTCTATTCCTAAGAATGATGTTATGGGGAGGGGTAGTAGGAGATATGAGTAACTTCTGATCTTATGAAAGTTTGATGGTGGTGAGGAGGTGTAACCATTTGTTATAATCCATTACAAGATTTGCTAATGGGATATTGGAGGGTTGTTCCTTGAAAGTTAAGCTGAAGAGTATGAGCATTAACTGGTAGGGGATGAATGTGTGTAAGAAGGACGGTATAGTCATGAAATTAGTTATCCAAGAAAAGTTAATTTCATGGCATTGAGGAAAGAGAGATTAGACTTGGGCTGAGACTGAACCTGGTAGACCAGTTAAAATAGCAACAGTGAGGCTGGGGTTGTGGCTCAGTGGTGGAGTGCTTGCCCAGCATGTGTGAAGCACTGGGGTCCATCCTCAGAAACACATAAAAATAAATTAATAAAATAGAGATATTGTGTCCATCTACAACTAAAAAATGTTTGTTTGTTTGTTTAAAAAAAAAAGAACAGCATCACCCCATGAGCAGCATCCAACTCATCAACATGCTACAATCAACACTAAATCTTGCCCTCCCTTCCCCCATTCAATTCTGAAAACCCACACCTTTCCCAGAATAATCACTGCATAGAAACATTGGTGCCAAGGGGAATCTGCCCTAAGACTGAGATGCAGGAAAAGGAAATTCAGAAGTCACTTGTAATCATCTATATGTGAAATTGTAGAAACTTGATGTGTTGTCATTACATATTTAACCAGTTTAAATAATGGTTCCAATTTTATGTTTGAACTTCTCCTGGAGGTAAAGCCAAACTTCTAACAGATTATTAAAAAAAAAAAAAAAGGTTATCTCAAAAGCTTATTACTCTCAATGACTCAGGAGGTGAAGCAGGAGGATCACAAGTTTGAGGTCAACCTCAGCAACTTGGTGAAGCTCTGCCTCAAAATTAAAAATAAAAAGAACTATAGTTCAGTGGTAAAGCATCCTTGGGTTCAATCCTTAGTACCAAAAAAAAAAAAAAAAAAGCAAAAGGACATAAAAGTTGTAAATTTGTTACTAGTCACCTGGCTAAAGTTAATTTTAATTCCTAGTAAGTGTGCCTAGTACCTGCTCCCCCGCCACACACAACACACACTTATTATGTTATAGAGACCTTTTACTGAATGTTTGATAAATTAACACATTGTTCTACTGTGGCCTAGTGATATTCATTGGAAAGCTACCTATATACTATCTAAGCTATCTTACAGGCATTCTGTAAGTTATATGAAATTTTTTTTCTTCAAACACCCAGGAATACATGGATGAATATTAAGGTTGTGCTTCACTCTAAGTTGAACTTACTAAGAATTTTTTAAAATTCTGCCCATCATGAGTGAGACAAATAATGTTTCTTTGGCCAAAATCAATCAAGGGCTTATAATTGCCAATTCAGGTTTTACATTTCTAATTCCTTGTGGTTCTTTAGAATTTTCTAATACCAATACTTGCTCTAAGGATTAACAAAGTTACACAATTTAGAACACCACTTCCTCTCTGGGCATCAGATTTCAAAGAAAGACAGAGAGAAGGAGAGGGAGAGGGAGAGGGGAGGGCAGGGCAACACTTAAACCTAAGGCTTAAATTTTTTGTGCATTATCCCTTCTTGTTAATGACAGTGTGACTAATGAACCAGCCTGAACAGGTCTGTGTACCTGCCTGCAATACAGACCCAGGTGTCCCCTGGCACGCACATCAAGAAAGTATAGTAAGTAGAGAATCACATGTAAAGAGAATTTTCAATTAGAGAAAATTGAAAGTACAGATGAGTCATAGCGATTTAATCCAATAGGAGTTTGTGGGCTGTCAAAATTGAATTCAGAATTAAGTGATGGAATATGGAAATGGGCAAAAGAAATACAGAGTACATGACAAATCAGTATCGCTTTTCTTTATTGCTCCTGTGTCTATTTTGTTGTCTTCAGATCCTTGTCAATCCTGGGAAGGCATCAGTGCTACCTGCCTGGGTTCAATGTGGGAAATAGGATGCAAAGACGATTTCTTAGTCGTTCCCAGTGATCCGTTTCTTGAAATTAAGGAAAGCTTATTCTTAAAGCCAGGTTGGGGTTGGATAGAATACGTGCACTCACAGGCTAGAAAAAACTTACAGAATCAATAGTTTCCAAGTTTCTAACAGAGTCAGGTTACGTATGTTTAAATCATAGCAATTATATGGGCTTACTGAAACCCACATGTATCTGTGGACAAAGGCACACTTAAATTTAAAGTACTGGGTTGAGTCGCCAAGAATCCCCAACTCCAGGAATTACAAAAAGGTCTTAGAAGGACAATTCCAATGCCCAACAACAGGGAATATAGTTATGGTTTAGCCATGCACACAGAGTGTTAGTCAAGCATCAAAAATTGTGTTTATAAATAAGTTTTACTGACATGGAAAAATGTTTATTATGTAATATTAGTTGAAAAAAGTGAGATGTAAAATTGGTGTATGTATATAGTATGACCTCTGCTTAAAAATGACAGGCAGAGGAATGACGAATGGGTGGACCACAGGAGATTTTAGAGCAGTAAATACTATATGATACAAGGATGGCGGTTCTATCCCTTGTACATTTGTCAATGGAATATACAACTCCAAGAGTGAGGATATAAGCTTGGAGTTAATGTATCAGTATCAGCTCATCAATTATAACAAAGGTACTACACTAATACTTGGTGTTAATAACGGGAAACTGTTGATGAGAGGCGGGGATAAAGGGTATATGGGACTTCTTGGTACTTTCTGCTCAATTTTTCTGCAAATCTTAAACTGCTCTAAAAAATAAAGCCTACTAATTTTTTTTAGATGTTTAGAAAAAATACTGGAGGGAAAT